AATCACTGCACTGCAGCCTGGGCAACAGAGTGACACCCTGTCTCAAAAACAAAGAAACAAACAAACAGAGAAAAAAAAGCCTTCCTATGCAGCAAAACTGACATAATTGAAGAAACAGACAGTTTAGCAATAATAAAGATTGTAATTTCCCATCATCAATAATGAACAGAATCTCTAAGAAGAAAATGAAAAAGGACGTAGCAGGCTTGAACAACAATGAAAACCAACTGGACCTAACAGACATCTATAGAGCACGCCACCTAACAACAGCAGGATATACATTTTAACGGGCACATGGAACAGTCTTCAGAACATACCATTTGCTAGGATATAAAGTAAGCATCAATAAATTCCAAAGGATTGAAAAAATACCAAGTATGTTCTCTGTCTACAAATTAAAACAGAAATCAACTGGCTGGCATGGTGGCTCACGCACTTTTTATAATCCCAGCACTTTGGGAGGCCGAGGCAGGTGGATCATGAGGTCAAGAAATTGAGACCGGCCTGGCCAACAAGGTGAAACCCCATCCCTACTAAAAAATACAAAAAATAAAATAAAATAATTAGCCGGGCATAGCAGCATGTATCTATAGTCCTAGCTACTGAGAAGCCTGAGGCAGGAGAATCACTTGAACCCGAGAGGTGGAGGTTTCAGTGAGCTGAGATCGCACCACTGCACTCCAGCTTGGGCAACAGAGTGAGACTTTGTCTCAAAAAAAAAAAAAAAAAAAAAAAAAAAAAAAAAAAAAAAGAAAAAAAAGAAAGATCTCAACTGAAATGAGGGCACAAGATAGGGTGCAGTGCAGGGAGGAGAGGAGGGTCTCCAAGTCACTCCTCTGCAAAGGGTTTCAGCAGGACCTTGGCTGCTGGGGACAGGTGAGCACTGTGAGAAGGCAAGTGTCTAGTTCCAGCAAAATCTGATTGCAAAATAGTAGCTTGTGTTTAAGTATTAATTGAGGGTTGGCTGAAGATCAAATACCTATTTAAGGATATGCGCACATCTTGAGTCATCCACTGAGTGGCCCACTGTAGACAGCTCTGCATAGATACAGAGAAGGGCAATGAAGAGACACAGGCCAAAGAGGCAGGAACATGCAGAGCCTGAAAGTCACAGTAGAGATGGCAGACTGCACAGCATTCAGATAAGAGGAAAGGTGGAAATAAGGTATGGTCACTGCCCTCAACGCCAAGGTATGAGTGTATGCAGGTACCCATCATTCTGTGAGCCCACAGCTGAAACCAAGGTATTCCCCGCTGCTCCACTTACCAAGACCAGGACCAGGACCAGCACCTCTGCTGGCTTCTGTTCTGCTGACTAGAGTCACATCCACCCAGCTGGGCACACACAGCTGTTCATCGTCCACCAGCTGGGTAAACACAGGGGATCTTGAAGGTGCAAGTCCTGGGGTTGACAGGCAGTAAAAGAAACAGGCTGGAATGGTGGCTAATGTCTATAATCCCAACGCTTTGGAAGGCTGAGGTAGGAGGATCACTTAAGGCTAGACATTTGCAACCGGCCTGGGCATCATGGTAAGACCCCATCTCTTCAAAAAGTATATATTTTTAAAAAATTAGCCAGGCATGATGGCATGCACCTGTAGTCCCAGTTACTCGGGAGGCTATAGTGAGAGGATTGCTTCAGCCCAGGCGGTCAAAACGTCAGTGAGCCACAATCAAATCACTGCACTGCAGCCTGGGCAACAGAGTGACACCCTGTCTCAAAAACAAAGAAACAAACAAACAGAGAAAAAAAAGCCTTCCTATGCAGCAA